GGAATAGGTGTTTCCATAAGTATACAGATATGATTGTGAGGCAGGTAATTTATGTGAAGTTTCAAAGGACTATTCAATTTAGAAAGGATGCATTGAGATTGATGGTAATCACAAATTTTCTTGTCACACAATGTGGTGCTGCTCTATTTTGTTGGGGTTTGTTGGTTTTGTTTCTGTTTTTTTGTTTCTTTGGTTGCTTGTGTTTTTACTTCGCTCAGGACCAATGTTTCTTAGGAAAGATAAAGACAGAGAATTTGTGGAAGAGTTATAAAGTTCATAGCACCTTCCAAATATCCTATTACATGAATAAAAATACCAACTAAAAAGAAAGGCTCTGATTTTGCAATTGGTCCTTTAAATACTTTGAGTGACATAAGTGCTAGGCCCCAGATTTCACTCAATGGGTCTTTTAAAAGGCTTAAGATTCTTTTATGTACCTTAAGACAAAAGCACAGAATATATTAACCAGAATATCAACAGGATATTTTTCAAGAGGTCAAAACAAGGAAAATTTTACTGGTAAAATTCAGAAAATGAGGGAAATATGGAAAAGTTTAGAGCAACAATCAGTCAACATAAAACATATCACAAAGCATCTACCTAGGAAATTCTAAGCCCATTTAGCTTAGCAAACTCCAACCTATCTGATATTAAGATACTCAAACTTTGAGAAGAAAGAATTAGATGAAGAAAGAGAAAAAGAGAAACAGAGCTACCACTGCTCCACTGGTGTTCTAGCTCATATAAAATCCAAGAAATAGGGTCAAGACCTGTACTTACCTCATGCTCTGCCTTAAGTACACTTTGGTTTTCCTGGGCCCTTCCCCCAGGTGGGATTTCTGGTCTGATGGCCCCTAAGGACCTGGAATTGCAGCTCCAGGGGAACTTGTGGAGCATTGCCTCCAGTGCACCAGGGATTTGTGGCTACTGTGGGGCTCGAATACAGGCCCAAGGGAGCAGGGTGTGCCCAGCAGGCATTGTCTCACCAGAGCAAGATTTGCCCCTTTCCCCTACACACATGCTCCTGAAATGTTTCAAACTAGCAGTCCTTCCAGTCTCTCACAATACAACAGAAAAATACCTATCTGGGAAACCCCTTCTGTGGGATCAAGGACCAAAGTTAACAGAAATTCAGGCATACAGGAAAACAAGTCAAGTTACCTAGATAGGCTGCTGATCTCATTCACTTTTTATTACAGGTGTATCCATTTCTTTTTTTGGATATGTAACCATAACATGTTGGATATTTCTAAACTCCACAGTATACTTAATTTTAGAGACAGAAAGGAAATTCTCTTTTTAGCACACAATATTATGATTTTTTGTTTGTCAAGTCCAAATTGCCTAGAGATTCTCTGTGGGATCCTTTAAATGAATTTTGATCCAATCTACAGGAAGAAATTGTGGATTTACTACTGTAGACAATCTATTTCCTATCATATTAGGTACTAGTTATAGAATAGTTCTGATGAGCAATAAACTAGCACATTTCAATGCAACTTTGAACATTTGAAAACAAATTGATGGGAAGCTGCTAAAAAGCTTCTTGAAATTTGGTTTGGTTAAACTTTGGTGATACTAACATATGACTACAGCTTATAAACTGCAGCAAAGATTTCCAAAGGATTTTGCCAGTGTATTGGAAAGAGCTGTGACTCTTCCCAGCAAGTGCATGCAAATATTGCTGTGCTGTGACTCTTCTGAGCGCAAGCAAATATTTTGGACTTGTTCTTAATGGTAGCTGCAGTGAGGCTACAGGGTGACTTCTGTGAGAAGCTGCCAGAAGCTTCTTCTGTGTCTGATGGTGTAAAAGCCAGCTGGTTCCAAAACAGAGGGGCTGCATGCCCTCATCTTGAGCCATGAGCCTTTTGCTATGTTTTGTCTCCTCTGTCTAATTGAGGAAGCCAGGGTCAATGCACCTCAATATGATATATATTAAAATAGCTGTTAAAATTCAGTCTGTAAAGGTTAACTTAATATATTCGCTGTGTTGCCCACTGTTGGCTTTTGCAAGTATAAAAAGTTCACATCTAGCTTTGTTTTGGAATATTTTTTGTAATGAGAAGAAAATGGACTTTGAGATAGGATATTAATTTAATCATATGATATTTTCTTTATTAGATATAAATGCCAGGAAATCTGTAATCTTGAAATGCATTTTTTATTTTCCTATTTATTTTATAGAGACTAATTTATTTTTGTTCTATTTCTACTGTAGTCCTAATTCCCCTGTGTTGTTACTTATTTATTATTTAACACAGCTATGCACGGTCTGATGCTGAGAAGACTTGCTCTTAAAACGTGTTTTTGCTCATAATACTGTATCCAAGTACAGAGAATAGTGTTCCAGAATTTTAAATATTTTGGGGGTTTTTTAAGCATACATACGAAGCCAACTGAAATTTAGCTTCTATTTTCAGAAAGCAAAACTGCTAATTTTGTGTCCACTTTGACAATATTTTTTTTTTCTTCATGGATGTTTTCTTTCCTTTAAAGAACTTTTTTTATCTCTGTTACCATTTGGCATCCCTCAATGAATTTTCCTTTTCACTTTACCTGCGTGGAAATTCAGACTTAATTCTATTTTGTCTGAAAAAAATTTGGGGTGGAGCTTTACTTGAGGGGCAAACTGAAAACTGAGAGATATTAGAGACAAAAGGATTTTGAAAATCATGAACAGCAGCAGAAATACTTGATGCATCTCTACCTCTTCACTAGGATTTTCCCTTCCTATATTTCTTTTCTCTCCTTAACAGTTTCATTTCACAGAATTTGGATATCCTTGTGATAGCGTGTCAAAAAATATTTGGGGGAAAAAAAAGAAAAATAAGAAAGGGAGTAAGTCAGACCTTCAGATAATGTAAATCAATATGATGCAATCCATTTCAATATAAGTCTGTTGTCTTAAGAAATTGCTTCAGCACACACACCCATCACCTGAAGAAAAACATGCATTAATCAATCTCAAAGGATGAAAATGGGTGAAATGACAAATACAGGATTCTTTGTTCATAAGAATAGTTTTGTACTGTAATCTTTGACAAGAATATTAGAACAGTAATATTTTTAATGTTGAACAATCAAGCTCCAATTACAATAAGCAATCAACCTCCTGAAGCAGTATGTAACCTTCAGAGTAATGACTTTGTTGCTTTGAGATTATTATTTTATATGTGGCAGTTTATGGAAAACTAAAGTTAAACATAAGAATTTGTCTCAGTGAGACAGAGAGAGAAGATTATTAAATAAAAAAAAGTTTTTAAATTATACATTATTAAATAATACAAAAAAAAGAGATAATAGTAGCCTTTTTCAGGGATTATCTCTGAGAATTAGAAAAAATCCTCTAAAGTCTGTAAGAGATCTGAAGTCAGAAAGTTCACCTGCAAACCTACAGTGAAGTATACTATTCAAAAGGAATGCTAGACAAATATTGGCAAAAGGGGATGCAGACTCTAGATCTGTTTTCTACACAGAGTAATTTGTATGTTTTCCTGTGTTTAACTAGGACATGTTTAAACTTCTGAAAACACTGTACAGAAATGCTCAGTCTCCTTTAAGTTCATTAATTCTTGTCAAATTCAAGTATTTTCAGCAACCTTCATTTCCATTTTGCAACTGTCTCTCAAGTATTTCAGATTTCTCTTCCATGGATTATGAGACCTATAACTGTTGTGTTTCTTAGATTTACCTGTCTTTATCTTCTGGGCTTTTCTTCATAATTTTTTTTCTTTTCAGATTTCCAAGAACCTGACTTGAGACATGAGCTAAAAGTAAACCAAGCCCTTCACCCATCTTACAAAATATTTACTCCCCCTTCACCCATCTTACAAAATATTTACTTTCATTAAGCCCAGTAAGCATAAGCTTTCTCCTACTTTTCCTATCAGATTTGTTTGGTTTTGTGTAGATGATTGTTTCTTCCTAGCTATAATAGCCTATGCTCTCCTTGAATTTGAATCCTACTTATTTTTGTTTGTCTCAATACACATCTTATATTACGCTTGCTTATGTACTTACAAGTCTAAAGATGTTTGAAACTCCAAAACCCAAATATCTGCACAACATATAGACAACTTTAAGAGCTCATCCATAAGTGAACTTTTGTCTCCAAGATGAGTAATTCATGCTTTTACTCTTATATATGAGGATTTTACAGAATACTAAAATTTAATCTCTTGGTACTATGCAGTTATATTCCAGTCAGAAAGCCAGGAAATTCTCATCAGTCCACAGTATTAATATTCAGGAGTCTGAATATAGGATAGGCACACATTTCTGAAGGTATGTCATTCTGACAGATAAGGATGTTAATATTCCTAAAAATTAACTTTAGGCACTTAGCCTTACACATCCTTATGATTGCCTTCTGTAAATCAGTTTGAATATCTCAGGTGTTGGGTCATGCACTTCCCTCATACCTGAGAAGATATGGTTCTGAGAAGATATACTTCTCATTCTCATTCTATTCAGATGGCTGGTGAAGAGAGTTTTTCACTTATGAGAAGTGTCCACTAGCCTGCTCCATCTGCAGAATATTCCATTCGCACATCCTAAACTTCAGCAATCCTCTCAAATAAACTGCTTTTCTCATCTGCAGAAGTTTCTATTTACGGTCTGTCAATTTATCGTAACTTTGGATTTTGTCAACAGCCAGAGGCTTTACACACCTTTCCCTTTACCAGAAATTCCTTGGGAAGGCAACTCTCACACCAGCCTTGTTTTGTTTTGTTTATCTGCAACGGGTTGTACAACGCAGATCTCACAAGTTTGTACCAGTACATAGGTAAAGACCTAGTTTTGATTACCTACTCTTTATCAGTAAAAATGAAAGGATAAAAACTCCATGGAGATTATTTTGTTCCATAGATATATTCCCAACTCTGCAGTTTTCCTTCTTAAGTCCCAATTCCTACAGTTGCTCTTTCCAAACATCTTCAATGGATTCTTTTTTTTTTTTTTAACTGCTAACTTTTAAATTCTTTTTGCCTAGGTGATCCCTGCCCGTATGGAGCTTTTCTGGAATAATTTGTGAACACCTCACAGAACAAGAAGCAAGAAGTAAGAAATTCAGTAGTCTGTTTTCACCCATTTTCCAGCAGCCAGATGGATGATGGTGTGCTGCTGACTGCACTGTAAGTGTGTGAAGGTGCAGCATGTGGCTGCCTGGGGGCATCAGAGGTTCCCTAGGGAACATCAGGGCAGGCACTGGCAGCCAGGACCTACTTCACTGACCCAGCTAGGGAAAAGGGCAGCTGGGGAAAACTGGGAGAGGCCCAGACCTGGACATTGGAAATTTCTCTGGGAACAGGACAAAGCTGAGGGCATTACCCTGCAGGTGAGGGCTTGGTTCTGACCCAGCAGAGGCTGGAATTCGGGCCAGTCCCAGCAGTACAGCTCCATTTGGGAGGAAAGTGAGGCAGACCCTGCCAAGTCCACCTTCTTCAGAACAATTTTCCCCAAGGCTCTTTCCCAGCTGGACCTGAGCCCAGAAATGCCCAGAAATGAGGAGATGTGCACAAGGCCATTGCAATAGCTTTTAAAACCTCAAAACTTTACTCAAAGGCCAAACTTTAGAGACCTATGTCTGAGCTACATTTCTATGTTCCCACCATCATCAGTGGGGAGATGATCCAATCAGTCAGGGACACTTGGGGATGAGAATCAGCTCTTAACTGTAACAGCACTTTCTGGTGTGCTAAAGATATCTGAAATATTCACACAGGTCTGACACATACAAATTCACACAAAACTGGGAGTGAGGTGAGCTAACTCTTTTCTATGAGAAGCTGAAGACTGGGAATAATACAACTATTAAAATTCTCCAAGATGGCTGTATGTGCCTCTGTTTAGGCAGCTCAGTTATAGAATGGAAAGCTGTATAGATGTCCAAATATAAGAATAAATTAAAGTTATCTAAGTAGGTAGCATCTGACAAGTATTGGAGATCTACTGCATTTTAGGAATCTTGAGCTGAGTACTATCTCAGCATCATGAAGAAATGTTCTAATTGATTGTTTTCTGCTTTCGTAAATCTACCTCATCTGATTATACATAACTGTTTTCCAAGTTTACATTTTATTATACATTCGAACAGTAGTGGTATCATGGAAAATGACATTAGATTAAAAGAAACGTGGCTTTATTAGTACCAAATCAACAAATTAGAAAATATTTTTTAAACCATGTAAGGATGCTGGAAGTTTCTTGAGAAAATTCTATGCAGACTGTCAGGCTGAATATGTTCCTAGTGCACTTATCACATTTCAAGCTGGGGACCTTCTTTTTTTTCTTTTTTTTTACTTTGTATCAATTTTGAAACCAGGATAAATAAAGAAGGAGCTAGGGAAAACCACTCCAAAATTATTTAGAGCAATTAAGAGTGATGACTGACTATATAAGATAATGTACAGTAACAATTCCCAATGGTTGTTTCTTCATTAATTAAAATTTAAACATGGCCTTGAGCATATTTTTTTCAAAATAGATGATATAAGAAGCCTGATATTTAACAGCAGAATTCTACCTGCCTAGTGAATTAAAGAGCCTTTTATACTCAGGCACATGTTCATGATTATTTGCAAGTCTAGCTTTTTTTTTTTTAATGAGTGACAACAAGCTTTTTATTTAAAAGTGGGAGTAAATTTCTATAGAAGTAATTTGTTTCTGTGTTTTTCAGAGCATTTTTAATAGAGTCAGAAAATTGCATGGGTGATAATCAATAACCAATGCTTAGCATTTCACTGCAAGAATATAAAGAATATAATGAGGTAAATAATTGGTCCTTTTATGTTTTTTCTTTCTTTGCAGTGATAAATTTGATTGAAAACACATGTCTCCTATGAACTACTCTAGTTAATAAAATGAGCTAAGGAGAAAACTAATAGATTTTTCTCTTCTTGCCTGTACCAAGTGTATAGAAATTCAAAGACTAGAGGTCACTGATAGTGTTTGTTTTCCATAGAAAAAAATAAATGTTTCTATCTATGGGTGTTTTTTTCTTCTGCATCATGAGAAAAATAGGTTTCCTATAAGTAAGGTTATACATATATGCTTAATCTTTATTATTACCTGGCTAGTAATTAAAAATATTACACACGTTGTGAACATGAAACATTTTTATTCATTAAAAATCTAAATTTGTGACACACTAGATAGCAGGCTGCAAACATTACTTAGTGAAATTATTTTTAAATATTCTTTGTCTTTATACCTTAAATATCCTCATCATTTATTCTCTGCATATCCACAGACAAGGATGTATGCTGTATGAATTGTGAAATAAAATTATTTCATTACTCAAGGTTTGTTCCTTTCATGAACTGAATAAAATCCAGCCAAACTCTACAGTTTGAAGAACATTGTTGATAATAAATGAATATACATACTTATCAGTATTAACAACATTATTGTTTTCTTTAAGTAAAATACCAGGCATTGTATACAGTCTATATGCTACATAACTTTTCTCCACAATAATAATCAGTGAGTGGTGGAAGGGTCATCTGATGTCCTGATATGAAAGGAGATTTATTAAAGGCATTACTAGAGAACTAGGTAATGAATGGGAATCGTTTTTTGCCTCATACAAAAGCATAGATAAGCCAGAAACAAGTACAGAAAAAAAAGGGTAAGAACTCCTTTTACCCTTTGAACAATGTAAAAGATACTGTTTTTTCAGAGCCAAAATCTTTTGCAATGCATGGTGGTGAATAATTAAAGCAATACATGGATTCAATTTTAAGTATATAGCTGATATAGCTGAAGTCACCCCTCAGGACTTCTACATATCACTGGAAATTGCACCACTTTTCATGAGTACCTGATGTGAATTACAGAGTGAGCAGCTCCCTGATGCACTATAAGCCAGCAGAGAAGTGCAGGAAGAGGTTGCATTGCTTCTCTAATTCTGTTTGTTTGCTTTGATTTTTATTAACTCTTTCTTTCCCTCTTGCATCTGAAATGATTTTCCAAGCCTGGGAGGTCTGCTGAGGTTTAAAATTGTTTGTGTTTAACAAAATGTTATCAGTTGCCAAATTTTAGCTATTTTACAATTTCCCCTATAGTGTGCAGGGAATAAAATGTGTCAACAAGGCTTGTATCCAAAATAGAGCTCACAGCCTTACAAAATGGGGTAATGAAAATGGTCTGATTTCAAATCTTTCTGTTCATACATGTCATTTGTACCTGCACGTATTTTCTCTTGACTCTCAAAGAATAATACCAAAACTTCTAATATTATTCATATCTATCCAGGGTAGCATATTACAGTAACATTATTTAATAGTTTGGAATTTTGTAGAATTCCTTCTAGCTAATGAAGAATGATTTACAAAACTAATTTTTGTACTATATTATTGTAAAAAAGACTAATAACTTTTACGTAAGCGATTCAGTAGTGTTTGCACTTACGGGCAACCCTTTTGTAGGGTGTTGCTATGCATGATGCAAGTTTATAAGAAAGTGAAACTTCTGTTAAATTATTGACAGTAGAGTTTCCATAAACCTGAAATACACCTCAAGGTTAACTTAAATTAGTAAAATTACAGGATACAATATAGGATGCAAAAAAACAAAGTTCAGAACTCAGACCTTTTTGAACATTTTCTGTTCTAAATTCATATTACATGTAGAGCAGGAACCATTAAAATCTTGACATTTACTGCTGATGGTAGTTAAACTTCACATGGTATTTGCAGTACTCCCCATTCAAGCTTAGGGGGACTGCAAATGCCTCACTAACAGCAAATACCATAGTGTGATAAATGTCAAGACTTTAATGGTTCACTGTAATAATTATGGGATAGATCCTGATAACTCAGACTAAAATGTGTAGCATCTTTCTCCATGAAAAATCTCACTGACTTTAGCAGGACTGTTTGTGACAGTGTTTGATAGAAGAGTGAGCACATTTTTGTAAGCATCTACTGTGAATTTAAAGTCAAATAACAGCCTGTATTATGTTCTTCAGCTTTTTTTGTAAACCCAGGTTTTTGTAAACCCATTTCCAAAATAGGAATCTCCACTAAAGCTTAGTCCAAGGTAATGCCTGCCGGATACAGTATAGGAAGATTTGTAAATACAGGAAATAGATTAACTCAGCACTGATCTTAGTTGCCAGCTGGGGTTAAAAACATGAAATGGGGTCAGCTCTCCCAGCTGTGTCCCCTCACAATGTATTGCAAATTCCTAGCCTACTTGTTGCCAAAGCAGCATAAGAAACAAAGAAGGCCTTGGCACTTTTCAAGCATTGTTTACCAACAGCTAAAACATTGCTCTGTTATTAGCACTGGTTGGTCACAAATGCAAAAGACAGTGCATGCAAGTTACTATGAAGAAAATAATCCTAACAAAAACCAGAACAAAATTTGGTTCCCAATACTGGAACCAGTGGTAATGTGTTTAGGTTATGCTACTTGTCAATACATTAAATTCCCCAAGTCTATTTTGCCCTCAAGCACAATTAGTGAGTGGTGTTCCAATTTTCTTTTAAATCTGCATGTTTTCTCATTCTTGTTCTTTGCATCTTCTCCCAGTTCCTTCTAGGGAGAGGAGAAGTGAGTGAGCAAGTGGTTGTGTGGGAACTTTGCTGCTAGCCAAGGCCAAATCACCACAACTAGGTAATTTCTAGTCTTTTTCTAGTATATGCTTGCTCCCCGTAGAGCATGAATGTGCATGGTCAGTCTATCTGCATCCATAGATTCTTGGGGTGGGATTTAAACTGATCTTCTTTGGTTATTATCCTGAAATCTTGTAATGAAGTATGTTTTAGTCATCTGAATTTGAAAAGCTTTTACTTGATTTTTTATTGTTTTGTCAGCTTTCTACTTCATTTACAATGCAATTGTGCCTGCAAGTGTCTGATGTATTTTTAGACAGCCTTTACAGGTAAAACTTGCTAAATATTCAGGCCTTGCAGGTCTTTTTTAGCTGTTGTGATGTAACATGACTGTTATGTAAATTTGAAGTTTTTCAATGTCTAACAAGAAAGCTAAACTCTCACCAGCTTAAGAATATTGACAAGTCCCTTTCTAGACTTCTGCATCTTTAACTTCTGTTTTTATTAAAGATGAAAGCTAACAGTGTAATGCTCTAAGGTAAATTCTTTTGTGTAATATTTTTACTAGTGTAAGTCCCTCAAACAAAGAGATCATGGTTCTCTCTGCAGCTGTGCAGATCTGTAAGTAGAAATGTTCTTTCAGCTCCGAGCTTGACAGCTCAAAGAATAACCTGAAAGTGAAAACTTATAATTTCAGCTCTAGTTACTACTTTATGTCTATCTTATCTTTTGCATGAAAATACCACAAAACATCCTTTCATTATAGAAGCATGCAGTGTGCTATTCAGCAAATACAATGCAATAAAGAAAGTACAAGATATACTAATGCAAAATAATGGTTGACATTTAGTGCACACAAAAGTCAGTAAAGTCAATGTTATGCTCCCCAAAGAAACCATATCTCATCTTCCTTGCATAAACTTTTTCTTTAATATATGTGCACAAACTGGCTGAATTATGGTTTCCATGGGAACAGTATTTCTGGATATCCACATTTGTCATTTCTCTGCATAGGGCACTCATTACGAAATTGCCTTTATTGATAACTTCGGTTTCTTAGGCTCCAGCAAAACATTCATAAAAATGGCATGAACATTGTCATCACAGTAAAGAGTAAGAGCTTCTTTTCAAATTTTCTGAGAATGTTAGTCTTAACTTCTTCTGATCTTAACTGTTGATCTTTTTGTTTAGTTGTGGTTTCTGCCTATGATTCTTATCAGACTGGAAGTTTTTACTGCTTACGTATTTAAAGACATTGTTGGATATATATCACTCAAGGATGTAGCAAGATAGACAAGCAGAACTATTAAGAGATTTCATAAATTTTGAAATTTAAACTGTGCTGCTAAAAAGGATTGAATATGATTTGAAAAACAGAAAAGATCCAAAGGTTTTAAAGACTTTGATTTTACAAATTGAAGAGAACATAAGTTAACTCTTTGATTAAATATACTAAATAATGAAGCGTAGGATGCTAATTTTCTCATCAGAAGGAACGTGTAACAGTGCACTTTCTGCAATCACAAGTAATTGTAGTTTCATATTTGTGCAATACAACAATGACATATTCAATCATTGCTTATGTCAAACCTTCCTAATTAAAACCTTTGCTTCAGGATGTTTTGTTGGGTTTTTTAATAAGGAGGTGTTTTTCTCTTTTTTTAATAAGGAAGTAGTGTGTCATCAAAAGACTGAAAATTATTTTTTGCTCATGCTTAGGGCTTTTTCTTATCTTTATCTCTTTTTATATAAAAATTATTTTCAAGACAGCTGTGTGTGATCTACTTCAAGATATCTGTAGAGTCTATTAAAAATAAAATTTTCTTACTCTGTTACCATCTATGTTACTCTAAAACAACGATGAAAATTCTAGCATGGCTATTTCTACTTTTTTTCAGTGTTGGGTTTTATTTTACAAATTAGTGTGTGAGTAGTAATGAGAATGAAGTAAAAGTTTTATATTTCATTCTCATATATTCATACTTCTGATGTAAAATTCATGTGATGTACTTATTAAAAGCATTATGTGTAATGTTTTTTGTGCACAACCCAGGAAAATCTATGGGGGGTTTGAATGTACATCCTCTTTGAATGTACATCCAAAGTTTTGCTTTTAATTTTGCTTACATAATTATTATTTAAAATAAACCTACCTCAATTCAATGAAATGAAATGTTTGTAAAACTTCAGGAAGCTGTACCACTACTGAGATTGTTCACAGATAATTTTTCCTTAGAATTCTGGTCTAGGCCATCTTTAAGACTTGTTTCAAGTCAAGAAAAACAATGTGTTCAAGACAGAAAGAAGTATTCTTAATTTAGATAAACTGAATGTAATGTATTTTCTAATTTTATGTGAAAGACTTGGGTGTCCTGTCAAAGGACTGATAACAAAAGAATCAAAATCTTAGATATTTATGTTGAAAAACAAAACTGCAGTCTCCTTCTTGTGCTCCCTGACCATATCTTGCACAGGAGTGGGGAGGTTTTGACTAACCTGCTTATCTAAGGTCTTTCGTGTTGGTGTTGGTTGATATAACAATATTTTAAGTGTATTTTTCTCTCTCATTTTACTTTAAATTTCTTCATGTTTTTAAAAGTATTATTGCTAGGCTAGATCTAATTTATTTGGTATATTTTATATCTTGATTTACTCTCATAAGTATTCTAAGGTATTAGTCAAATAATAATATAAATAAAAGAGAAAGTGTTCTCAGAGACATCTCTGAGCTAATTTAAATTAGCCAATAAATTAGCAATTTTTTTTCTTCTGTAAAGAAATGCACTATGAGTAAGATGATAAAGGTAGTACATTGCTTTTTTTGCAGAAAGCCTGATGTGGATTTTCCAGAAATGGAAACAGAAGGTGATGGTATTAACTAAGAACATAATCTATTCAGACATCATTGTTTATTTTGATGGAATGTATACAGACTGGTTTCCCTGTTAGATTCAATACAGGGTTTAGTTACAAGGATCATGGCACATTTGGTTTGAACAAGTAAATATCAATGTTGATGTAATGTTCAATAACAAAGTGGAGAAGTATCAGTGAAAATGGCATTTTATCATTGTTTAAACATACATTCTATCTGAAAATAGAAATATAAGTCTAATAAGTTAGGGCATAAAATATAATGTTTACAGATGGATTTGAACATAGATATTTTTTCAAAGATGTTTTAAAATTTTATGAATCATTTTACTTTCCCCAGATCACAAACTCCTTGGCGTAGATACATTTTGTTTCGAGTACTTCTTTTGAATTTAACAAGGAAAAAAGTTACTTCAATCCAGTTTAATTTTTTCCTGGCAGAAGTGACTCTCACAGACAGCTATTATAAAGATGTGCAGAGGACTGAATGTGTAACTACCTCTGTCTTAACTTGTTGGACAAGAGCAATTCTTTCTAAACTTCTATGGAAAAGAGAAAGAATCAGTCAGAGCACAAAGACTTGGATGGCAGATTGCAAATAGTGCCTGATGTGAGCCATTCACTCCAAAGCATAGAATAAAAAAAACTTAAATGAGGACCTAAATTAACAAGAAGTGTCAGAATACTGTAGAGGAAAGGCATCCTAGTCTTAATTTTCTTCACATTTCTGGTATAAAAGAGAGGAGAAATGAAATGAAAGAATGAAAGGAAAAAAAGAAAAAGATAAAATACAATTAAAACTGATAAAATCCCCAGTTTTAAATAGTTCCCTGAATTATAGGAATGCTACTTGTTCTAGTTCCCTCCTCTAGGGTTGTTGGAATTTTCAAGAATACATCTTAAATGAAATGCTTTCTGAAATGCCACTTTTTGGGATGGAAGACATAAAATGTTTGTCTTGTGCCCATCCTTAAGAAACAAAACAGTCAGTTTCGGAACAAAGATAACTAAACTTCATTGTTGGCAGTGCCAGGGTAAAAGTAAACCCCAGATATCAGGTTTGAGAAGCTGACACTGAAATGTCTGATCTGCAGCTATAGATGGCAATGCACCTTTCCAGAGCTGGGATCTGAATATGGCACCGCATGCAGGAACACCTGCACCAGTCTGAGACTAGAGGCATTGAGTGAGATGCATCACCTGATGCTGCAGCCCAAGCCATCAATAGAAAACATTAAAAATAGGAAAGTAGACTCCTCTCAGCGTTCACATGCACAGATTATTTACATACAGATAATATTATTTTTTTCTCCTTTTCTCCAACTTCAGCCACTATCAGATCCTTTAGCATCTTCTAAAAACTGGCAAGCATCTGGATAACAATAGTTTTATGATTGCAACATAGACCAACTTAACTTAGAGGGAAAAGTTAATCCTATATCCTTTAGATGTTTCTGGAATTCTCAGAGTATTCCAAATACTCATAGCAGATGAAAGAGGTACCTTTTATTCAGAACCACCTGCATTTACAACAAAACTGCAATCATAAATCAATAAGATTTATGATTTGAAATCATAAATTACCTTGAAATTCTTCACATAATTTTTTTCCCTTATGGAGGGTATGTGTGACGCCAGTGCTGTCATCTGAAGCCTGTTGTAGCATAACATTGTCTTATAAATAAGCCCATATAGTATACTTCAGAATTTTACCAATATCATATTCAGGATAAGGTTGTTTATTGTGGAATAGTAAAGTGCTTAAGGTACAAAAGGTGTGTGTCCTTCAGTTATTGATTGTGTAGCTGAGCAGACAGAAATATCTAAATAACATAATTGCGTAACTAAATGTTCTGATATGGGCAGCTCTGGCAATTTTATGCAAGTTGTTAGTCATGGAAAATGCCTTTTTATAATAATCTAATAAAATGATAGAACCCATCCTGGAAAATCAACATAAATGTTGTTTGCTCTTGCACAATTGCATACACAATTTATGGAGATGGCAGACAGGTTGACAGCAAACTGATTCTTAGACAAATCTATTCCATACAAGTGCAGTTAATTAAGATACTCTTTGGCTATGTTGAATGGAATGTTAGTGGTTGTAATCCCTAAACACATCAAGGAACCAAAGTTATTTGAAAAATTGTCCAAAACATGCAACATCTTCCAAATTTTATGTGA